GTAACTTTTTCAAAAATGAACATATCAATATAATTTTTTTTTATATAGATGCTTTATGTCTTTACCTATCATTTGGTATATTTTTTTTGTAAATTTGACCTTTTTTCTGCCCACAGGAGGGGATTTAAAATTACAACTTTTTCACAAAAAATTAACTTTTGAAAATGTTCCGGAAGGTCTGACACTTTTATATATCTTAAATTAAAGCTAATGTTATGTACTTTATTATGAAAAAAAAAAATTTCGGACTTTATTTTATCTTCATGGTGAAAATGGCTACCAAATGCTATTTTCGTGTGAAAATTCTCGATTTTATAATTTACATTTTTTACTTTAAAGTGCTATAACTTTTTAAAAAATGTATGGATCAATACAATTTTTTCATGAGAAGTAGTATTTATATACATCTTTCATTGGATATACTTTTTTTTTAAATCAGACTATTTCCCTATATATGGGNAGGATATTAATAAGGAACCAGCAGATCAAGTAGCTTTTGGAATAAAACACCAATTTTTTTAAAATTAAACACTATCTAAAGATTTGCATCGAAGCGTTTATTTTTGATAGTGATTTTAATCACTGTCAGATATCATTTACTTGATCCAACTATGCCACGTCACCACTGTGCCGCGACCCCCCTGTGCTGGGTTTTTTTTATCCGATGACAAATTTGTTTAAAAATAAAAACGATCATGAAAATCTAAAAAGGGTCCTTATTAAAAAAAGTTATTTTTATTTTTACAGGATAACTAATAAGCATAATAATGTTCACTAGTGCATAAAAATATAGATTTGATATTTATACAAATAATAAAAAAAAATCCGAATTTATAAAAACTGTTAGGTAAAGGGGGGATAGGAGAGATAATAAATAACACTATTATCATGAACCAAACATAAGGTTTGGGAAGAATACACAACACGTTATAATGATACAACACTTTTTTATNAAACGTTAGGGAAGAATACACAACACGTTATAATGATACAACACTTTTTTATGGCAAGTTATCATGATAGTACTAAATAAACCGAACAAAAATATGTATCATGTTATGATAATTTAACAGCCTTTTATAGTTCATGGAATGTGTAAAAAGCTATTAGAGAAGTTCGGTATTTGCCGATAGTGGACCGTGCCAAAAATAGTCCCGGAAAAACCGTTATTATTTCTTCCAAGTAACAGCTTGTTATTGCTACTCAAGTAGTAACTATTATAAATCACTGTTACTGTTATTTTTTCCTATCACTAGTCATAATTAAGAATTAGTCTGATTATTTGATCCATAAACAAGGTATAGTAAGTAAGGTATAAGTAGTAGTAGAGTTCTCAGGTTTTTTTTTGGGAGGAGATAAATATAAGAAAATTTTTTACTACCTCCTACAAAATACATTTTTACCATATAATTATTTACATCATAGGGTTCTATCCTCCATACCCGTCCTCTATTAAAAACACAATGATATGTAAAAATGTTGATTAGCGAATTACACGCTCGTAGAAAACTAAAACTGTTTCTACGAATCATTCACATATGAGCAACTAATAAAATAAATTTAAGGGTGCTAAATTCATTTTTATTCCATTTAAATTTTTTTTTATTTAGAGTAGGGCTAATGTCTGGGAACACTAATCTTCACCAGTTACACCTATATATCATACATACAACTTTAAACCCATCAGCAAAGCTGGTATTAGAAATCATGAGACGTTGTGCGAATAGATTTTGCAAGACTTTTCAGTAAAACAAACCCTTTTGTTCTTTTGCTGATCGACTAAATTTCTGGGCTCTTTAAAACGAAATGAAGGATCACTTTCTAGCGTCGACTCTACTCTTCCAAAGATCCTAAAATTATATAATCAAAATTTTTTGTTAAAAAATTAAAGCTTTCTAGTTTTTTTATTATATTTTTATTGAAAACAAAAATTAATTTCTTATAAAATTCTCATAGGTTAAGATCGATTACTTAATTTTTTACAAAAATTACCTTTACGTTTTTATTTCTAAACATTAAAAATTATAATTTAACTAGTACACGAATTTGTTGATTCATTTTCTAAGAATTTCCGTAAAATCAATACAGGTATTATTTTATTATTTTGTATCTTATTAAATGATCTTAATATAGAGTTTAGATTTATTTTATCGCCTGAAACATAACAAATATATTAATGATTCATATTAGGAAGATACATTAAAGCTATTACGAGTAGGTGGAGTGGGGTTTTGAGGGTTCAACCCCCTCCTCCACATAGCCGAAAAAATATATATCATGTTTTTCATTTTTGATTAATTATATTAGATATTTACTTATCATATTTGTAATAAAAATTGCAGAGGACTGTTAGCATTGCATATTCTTTTTGGTTTATACGTTTTAATAATTAAAAATTATTAATTATATTAATTATTTATTTCATTAATAAACCGTTAAATAAATTAATTTATAAGAGCTTATTTCAGAATTTTTAAGTACATAAATGCACGCATAATTATTTTTTTTGGGGGATAGAAGTCTTGTGCTCTAGTAATAAAATAATAATGCATAACATAATAGTACACTACTATTATTGTGTTATTTTCTTGTTTGGTGTTTATCGGCTTCCATTGAAGTCGTTAGCGATACGATAACGGAAGTCGCGTATTTTAGAAGATGTTCATTATCACGTGTAAGATCTTAGTTATACAAACACGGTGTTTGCAATATTATCGAAATGGACATTCGAAAATTTAAAAAGAAACCAGGACTAGAAAATGATAAGATAGTAAGTATATTAAAATTAACTATAATTATTACAATTACTCAATTAATCTATTTAATTTTAAAATTTAATTTATAGTTTCAATAACCTGTTACAATTAACTGAACCAGCAGAAAACGCATCTCCAGATACAAATGTCACAGTGTCAATTCAAAAGTTTATGTACCCTCATGATATAGGGTTACATGTGAATAAACCTGCAACTGAAAGTATTGACTTGATATCGGGACTTCAAAATTTAATATGGACACTTCCAGAAGACTACCAATTTCCTGTTTCCGAAAAAAGAAATTTAACATTTCAAAGAAGTTGGTTGCTCAAATATAAATGGTTAACTTATTCAGCAATTATGAATGGCGCATTTTGTAAGTATAGTGTATTGTTTTCTGTACGAGGTGGAGGAATTGGACATCAAACGTTGAGACAGCTTGTTAAAAAACCTCTTACCAACTGGAAAAAAGCTTTAGAATCATTTAGTTGTCATAACTCACTTGAGTTATGAAAACATATGAAAACAGAAATCAAAACATTTTATCGGTTGACTTACAAAAATTAGATTTGATTAATGAAAGTAAAAAATGTTTAATTCCTATAATCGAAATTTTAATATTATGTGGTCGGCAGGGTTTGAACTTTTGTGGTTCAAATGATTTAGACAGAGTAACTCCCGAAGAACCTATAACTAATGATGGTAATTTTCGGGCTCTTTTAAGATATCGAGTAAATACTGATGAATAGCTTAATAATTTTTTATAAAATTCAGCAAAAGACGCAATGTACATTAGTAACTGTGTTTAAAACGAATTTATTGTCATATTTCACAATTCAAATCAAAAACAGATTATTGAACGTGTCAATAAATCTCGAGCTTTTTCTATAACAGCAGATGAAACTGCAGATATAGCCGGCATAGAACAACTTTCAATCTGTGTGCGGTATTTAAATTATAAGGACAGTAATTATAATATATGTGAAGATTTTTTAAGCTTTATTCCTATTTTAGATGTAACAGGGAAAGATTTATTAAATGCTATTTTGGATTTCCTAGAATACTCTGGAATAGACTGTACGTATTTATTTGGACAAGGTTATGATGGGGCTAGTACTATGAGTAAAGAATTTCATGGAGTTCAATCATATATTAGAAAAATATATCATTTAGCCCATAGTTTCAATTTAGCAGTTAGTGCCGCATGTAGTCAAAAACTGCCTCAGTACAGTCCAATTTATTTATAACTTCTTTAATCCCACAAAAAGGCAAATTCCACTTCAGGATGCAATAAAAATTATTACACTTTGTTACAAGAAAAAAAAAACTTAAAAATATTGTGCAATAAGGTGGGTACTACAGCATGAGTCGATTGGAACTTATATACATTTACAACCAGCAGTTATTGACGCTTTAGAAAAAATTTCGAGTACTTGGACAGACTCAAAAACAACATCCGGATCTTTTCAACTACTATCAGCAATAAAAACATTAGAATTTCAAATCTCAATTCACGTTTTGCATTCAGTACATGCATTGTCTTTATTATTGAGTAGTATTTTACAAACAGAAAATTAAGATTTGGTTGAGACCGTGAATTGAGCAGATACAACAAAACACGAACTTGAGGAAAAAAGATAATATTCTACAGATAACTTCAACACAATTTTTGTATCTGTAAAAGATATTTGCAATAAGTACAATATGCCTGTAACTAAACCTAGACTTGCCTCACGTCAAATTAACCGTTCTAACATTATAAACCGACTCTGTAGCAGATTATTATAAAATTATTATTTACATACCATACCTTGATCTATTTATTACTCATCTTTAAGATTGCTTTCTCAAGCATCGTAATATTTTGTCAAACTTCTCGTGTCTTTTTTCCATTGAAACAAAATCTTTAAACAAAGATTCTTGTAAAAAGTTATTTGAAACTTATTGTTCAATTTTACACGACGATTCCTCAGAAATTTGGATAAATGAGGTAGAAATTTGGCGACGACGAAAAGCTGGTAAAAATATTCGAAACGCTCTCGATATTTGTAATTCAGATGCATTTCCAAATGTTACGTGTAATGTCAGTTTTGCCTGTGACTACAGTGACTAATGAAAGGTCATTTTCAACATCATTATTTACAGTCATCTATGGGTAAAGATCGTTTAAACGGACTGGCTTCGTTGAATATCCATCGTGACATAAACGGGGATATCAACGAAGTATTAAACGAATTCTTTTTTACTCATTGTAGAATAAATTTATTAAAAAAATAATTTTTAATATTACAGTATCAATAAAACCTTCAAAATTTAGAATACACAACGCATTTTCAATTTTATTTGATGCATCAAATAAATTTATATATATATAAATAATAAAATTACTTTGTCATGATTTATTTATATTATAATTATATAGTATATAATATTTGATAGTTATTCATGTATCTATTTTATATATATCTTTTCGCATGGTCCTGATTACGAGGAAGATAATATCTGAATCTCATATCATGAGTTTCAAATTCCAAATAAGATAAAAGTAATAACAAGGTTAAGATACAATTTTTTTTTGTGCTGTTAAAGTGACACAAAAAATAATTTGTGTTCACCCGTTCAACACTCTAGGGACCAAAAGACGTAAATATATCTATATCCCTGATAGGATATATATACATATAAAAAAATGTTTCGTTAACCTCCAACTGAAGAGAAATTATTTTTTACTATTAAGTTATTTCCATTCTAGAAAGTTATACACTTACCATTATTACTCCCATAGTTACGTTCCTAGAGTTGTTTAATCATTATCTTTACCAAACTAAAATACATTTTTTTCTGTTCTTTTAAATTTATAAAATTAATATACATTGAAATTTTATGTTTAGGATGCTAAGAGTTGTTCCGAGGGGATTAAGTTTCCATCTGATGGTGTTATTTTAAAATTCGTTAATTCTGTTGATTCATCTTATATTTCTCTAATGGAAGCGCAAACAAAACTAATGCAATTTTTGGGTATAGATTTATTTATTTTATTCAATTACTAAGTAGCACCGATTCTTTAACTTATGTTTTGAAAATGTGAAGTTGATATCATTATAGAATAAATACTTAATATGATAATATTTTAACTGACTTATATTCATGTTAGACAAAAGAAAAGAAATTTTCATGTAATCGGCATTACTATAAAGATTAAATATTAGTCAAAATATTTCATTGAATTTGACATTTATTACAGGAAATTCAGACTTTCACTTTCCAATGCCAATGTTAAATAAGCACGGACAAAGTTTTAGGTCATTAGAAATAAGTAAGTTCTCATATAATATTAAAATATGTAGAATCACCACATAATTACTTCGTAGTTATTTAAGTCCAATTACATTTTTTTTTTTCAAAAAAAAAAAATTTGAACCATGTCATTGTTTACACAATGAATTTTCAATATACTGCAATAACAAGTCCAAATAAGTCATCTTTGAGTATTTATAAATCAATCGAAAACTTAATTAGTTTATTTAAAAACAAAAATAAATAAACTGTAGTATATTTTCTTATACTGTTATTTCCTATATATTTATTTATTTTAGTTCTAAAAAAAAAAAAAATTCCGCTTATGTTAAACAAATTGCGAATAAGATTTTAATCTAATTATTATATATTTTTAGATGGCAAAGTTCATGTTGTACGTATGACAAAGTATATAAATGGAGATACTATGTCAAATACTATAGCAGATGAAAACTTCGCTGAAGAATTTGGTTCGTGTGTTGGTTATTTAACAAAAAAGCTTCAAGTAAATAATAAATTTAGAAGTTTAGCTCATAAATTTAAGTAAAAAGAAAATAAATAATATTATTAGTAGTATTACATTTGTAAAGTATAAATAATTTTCTGAGAAGCTGTTTTGATGAATAATAAACTTAATTCACTATTATTAGCTTCACAATTAATCATTGGTAATGATAAAATTATCTATGATATATCCCTAGATGTAACTAGAATGAAATTTTTTGTGATACTAAATTAATTTTTTTTTTATCCTAAAAATAATTTGTATAAAGATACTTATAATTTCTAAAATTTTGGAGAGCTAATTCGTCAATTGAGATGGCTAAGCTCCTCCTAGTTACTCCTATGAATAAATCCAAATTGAATTTCGTACACGTTTAAAGATGAGAAATTTTTCATGATATAATGCACCCAAATATGAGGCTTGATAGATGTAACCGATCTAAATGACGAAAATTTAAAAATAATTTTTGCTACATCAAAGTTTAATCTATGTATATACGTCAATATTATGAAAAAAATATATAACTTGAATAACAATTTATAAATTTTAAAAACAATCTTAGTACCCTAAGATAAAGCTGTTAATGGCACATTATAGTAGAATAAAATGATTTTTATTTTACTCCAACCCAACCTAAATAAAGCTTTTTAGTACTTTGATCACATGGCCTCGCTACGCCTCAAATTTTTGAACCTAAAAAAAAATATATGATAATTAAGTCAAATAATAGCATAATTAATTTAGTTNTCCTAACCCAACCTAAATAAAGCTTTTTAGTACTTTGATCATATGGCCTCGCTACGCCTCAAATTTTTGAACCTAAAAAAAAATATATGATAATTAAGTCAAATAATAGCATAATTAATTTAGTTTGAAAAGTAAACATAAATGTATTATTTAATTTGTGTTGTTTTTTCAGTCGTTTGATCACGAAGGATTTCACCGAGAAAATCATATATGGGCTCTAGAATATGCAGGCGACGCGCTAAAATTTGTTAATGTTTTTGAAGATAAAAATCAACAAAATATACTTAATACAGTACTAAAAAAATTTCAATCTGAATTTCTTTCCAAAAAGGATATTTTGGAAAAAAGTATTAAACTTCATAAAGATTTATTAAATGATCTAATAGTGAAGTTAATACTCAGCTCAATTTTTTTATGAAACTAAATATTTTTAATGCACGTTTTTTAAAGACTAAAAATTATTTTTTCACATTATTGCAAATAATAGATTGGAAAATATATATCAATTTGACTATAAATTTATAGGTATAAGAATAAAAACCCCAAGTATTTATATTTGATTGATACATACGTTTTTAAAAAAATAATTAAATTGTGATAAATAAAAAAATTTCAGGCGTTATTCATGGAGATCTTAGTTTCAACAACATTCTTGCAACAAACAATAAAATAACAGCAATTATAGATTTTGGCGATGTATTATATTCATATACATTTTTTGAACTTGCCATAGCTTTGTGTTATATGATTGCACAAGAATACAAAAAAAAGGATCCCTGTTTATCAAATGTACCTATCAAAACTTTAATAGAAGCTTATCAACGTCATAGAAAGTTGACTGATGTAGAGCTATCACTATTGCACGTATGTACGAAATAAATAAATGAAAACTCTAAGTTTTATCAGGCTCGGATTAAGATCTATTAAGACTCAGGAATCAATTTTTATATTTCCCTACTTTCATAAAGCAGGCCTGATTATAATGACATATAATTGAAATCTAGGTGGGAATAATGAGCTAGTAACAATTTTTCATTTATTTTATGGAATATTGTATTAAAATATTCTAAAATCTTACTATCAAAACACGGACTCGGCGATTATTAGAATTAATTAAGACGCTTATATTGTTTTTTCGACATAAAAAATAAAATTTGTTAAATAGCACTATTTCACATATTAAATTGGTTGAATTTAAAAAATATATGAAATATTTAATCTATTTATTTTAAGTTAATCAACTATTTATATACAGAGTGATATATTAAGGATGAGCCACTCACTTTCTTGGAAACTATTGAACATTTTTAATCTTCGTAAAGATAAATATTATTTAATTAAAAAAGTATTATGTAGTTAAATAAAATTTTCATTTCTTCAATGATAAAAACTTACACTTTAATTTTCTTTAATGGAAAATCATATTTTTAGTTTGATGTAATAATGAAGAAAAAAAGTAAAACTATTTCTTCTTCTAAATTTTTTATCCGATCAACGGTTTGCGTTTTAAATTGTTTAATAATGTGTATTTAAAATACAAATTTATCATTATGTTGGTTTTTAGTATACCGGAGGCAATATTAATTTATTTCAATGCGCCATAAATTATTTTTATGGTTTCATAATGTACTATAGTAATCTTGCGTTGAATATTAATATAGATAAATTAATAGTATATGCGTCTATTAATAGGCCTGAATTATTAAAGATAATGGTGACAATAACTCTTGCAGAGACCTCTCAACAAAACATTTTGATTGGACGGAGAAACACGAGTACACTATGGTATACTTTCGGTTTATCTAGTTTAAGTACTCACTAACGTGACTCGAATTCTTTTACTCGGGCGCAAGAAACCGCCTCCAGACCGAGCTTCGACAAGGCAACATGAGATGAGATGTCACNATTCGGTTTATCTAGTTTAAGTATCACTGACGTGACTCGAATTCTTTTACTCGGGCGCAAGAAACCGCCTCCAGACCGAGCTTCGACAAGGCAACATGAGATGAGATGTCACGAACGCATCTAATTCATTTTTGCGGTGTCTCGGTGAAAATGTACTGCCGGCATAAGATTACTGTATTATGGATAGTATTAAGGTGTACCCGTGAGAAATGATAATTAAACAGGAAATAATTAATAGAAAATTGGTCGAAAATCACTAAACTTAAACAAGAAATAATAGAATGGTTGATCAGATAAAAACAAAATAGTTTAACATGTTTTTTGTTATCATACCATAAAGTTAGAGGTAACTAAAAAATAGGTTACCGTTAAAGAAAATTAAAGTTCATATTTTTTTTAACTAAAGGGATGAAAAAAAAATTATTAACTATATATTATTGTAATCTTTTGAATCAAACAATATTTTATTTTACGTAAATTAAAAATTTTCAATGGTTTCCAATAAAAGTTTCTATAATATATATATATACCATTGATTACAATATATTTTCAAAATCACAGTTTGTTTTTTGATGTAAATAATACAATACATATAATTCATAGAATATTAGAAAAAAATTCAGCCTCTTTTGGAAATTCTTTAATTTTACCCTTTGTGGTCTTTTCTCAGGCTTATGATCATGTTTAACACGATGGACTTTTATTTAAACTGAAGAATTTTCTTCCGTCGTTTATTGCATGTTTATCACATCATTCTTTGAAACCCGAATCTTCGTAGCTCTACTAAAAAAATTTAATTCTTTATTTTAATTAAGGTAGGAGTCCTTCAAGGCAATAATTTTTCACTTTATTTTACAACATATACACTTCCGATATATCTACTACCGACAGTATTGTATTAGCCACATTTAGAGATGATGCAACTCTACTAGATTCAAACAAAAATCCACTTATTGCTTCAAGTCATATCCAACAATATTTCAATCTAATAGAGTATTATGCTTTCAAATGGAAAATTAAATTAAACGACGGAAAGTCTGTATAGGTTAACTTTATTCTAAAACAGAACGAATGTCCATTACTTAAACTAAACAATAACTATACTTCTCTACAATCAAAACATAATACTAAGTTATTATATTTAATAAAAGACTAATTTGGTCCGACCTTCCAAAACAAAAACGTAAGCAATTAATTACTTGTCTTCATTTACTTCGACAAATATTTAAATTCAATTTAAACAAATAAAAAAAATACATTTCTGATTTATAAAACAATAATTAGACCAGTATGGTCTTATAGAATACAAATATAAGCCTTGCTCAACCAGCAATATACGTCCTTTTCGAGTCTTCCAATAAATAACCTTAAGACATATAACAGGACCACCCTAGTACATATCAAATACTGCTCATATGGACTTAAAAATACCCATTGTTAATGAACTCACCAAAATCATTAAATAGATTCCACACAAAATTATCGTATCACCTCTTAATCAACTCCAGTCATCCTACTCATTTTTCAAAGCATTTCTCGCAGATTAAAAAGAAACTGGTCTAAAGATTTACTTTAGATCATAGTCAAATAGTTATTAAATTATTTAAAATATATATTAATTCTGAGGTTCTGTACTGGTCGATTTCCTCATCATGACATACATGTCCTTATAATTAAATTTGTCATTATCATAATTACTTATTGTTTTGTTTATTAACAGATTGTAATATTGTATTATAAAAAAAAAGTTGTTTCTGTCATAATGTAATTTTTTTTTAAATATCTTAAAGTGTACTCATAAAGTAAATGCTAAGAATTTGTTTACTGTTTACAAGTTTTGATATTAGAGGTATTATATCTTTATTCTCATGTAATAATATTGTTTTATTTTTCTATAGATAAGCGTGTGCGCAAGACTTTGCCAAAGTCTCATTTTAGGGAAAAAAACTAGCTTGAGAGATTTGTCAAACGTATATGTATTATCAATACAAAAAATTGCTTGGAGAACATTACAAGATTTAATAAACGTACCTGAAAATTATTTCAATAACTTCGTAAAACAAGAATAAATAAAATATTTTATTAAGTATTTCAAGTGTATAATATAACTAACACTTAAAACACACTTATTATTTTTAGGACGAAGAACAAAATATCTATTTTAAATGTATGCTAACAAAATTGAATATTTTATTATTTGCACATAAATGGTGTTAGTACTAATTTAATAAAAATGTATTTTTCGTAGTTATTTAGAAACTACTTTAAATTATATAAATGTAATGACTTGTCATTAGTTTTTATTCGATTTTGTGAATGCATAAACTTATATGTAACAGAAAACATAGTTAATTAATTTTTTTATTGAAATAATATTTCAACAATTCTAAATTAAGAAAAAAATAAGTACAGGTCTTGTACTATATAATTTATATAATAAGGTAAATAACTATAGAATAATCCCCGCAATGAATACTCAGAATTTTTTCAGAAAACTTATAAAGTTTTAAAGAATCCATTTAAATATATCTAACACATACTATTTTAACAAACAAAAAAAGTTTTAATAACTTTTGGGTTGTTACACTATCACAATTACGGAGTAATAATAATAATAATAAAAATTTGCCCATTTCTTATCATGTATTGTACAACTGCCATTTTNTCCATTTAAATATATCTAACACATACTATTTTAACAAACAAAAAAAGTTTTAATAACTTTTGGGTTATTACACTATCACAATTACGGAGTAATAATAATAATAATAAAAATTTGCCCATTTCTTATCATGTATTGTACAACTGCCATTTTTTTGTGACTATCACTAATAGTATATCATTTATTATTAAAACAATAAATGACGNTTTTCGTGACTATCACTAATAGTATATCATTTATTATTAAAACAATAAATGACGTGTATTATACTTTTATTCTATAATTTTTTGTTCTTAAGTACTTATTAAAACTAACTTTGAAATATTTGAAATTCAAAAATTATTATACAATTTTAATATATAACTTATCAAAATATGTCAGATTCTGATGAAGAATTTGAAAGTGCGGATGAAGGTAATAAAAATAATGATGGTTGGGAAGTAGAAAACGATTTCGATTTGTCTAATGGTGAAACACTTGAAAATAATCCTTCCAAAATCAAGGCTGTTTCACTAGAAAATCCTCACATAGAAACCATTAGTGTGTCAAATAATTTATCTTCATTAAAACTACATGAAGACCAGGTTCAAGTTACACAAGACGGAGGAAATTTAATTGAACAGACCAACAGTAGTATTACAAATTCTCAATCTAACAATTTAATTGATTTCAGTAAATTAGCCATAGATAAAAACAGTAATTCAAATAAGTCATCTAATGAGAATGTTGAAAACAAATCAAATTATAGTCAAGTTACTACATCACAAGCAGTAAGAAATCTAATAAAATTGTTTTCATTTTTATGACTGGTTTTATACCTAATAAATAAAAATATATGTAGGGTTGGGGTAGTTGGTCCAGCAATTGGAGTGTCAATTCATTTTTGTCTACTGCAAGTGCATTAACTAATCAAGTATCCCAAGGATTGAATAATGTTATAGATGCTAGTATGGGAGCACCTACACCAGAATCATTAGTGTCTATTAATAAAGATGAAAAAGATTATCACATCAATTATAGCAATGGTAAGCTAACACTATACATTTACTGTTAATTACCACTAAATATGTAATGTCCGTAGAAGAATCTAATCATAATTCATCAGGGTCCATTTTAAATACTGATTATTTTATGAGTAATGTAAATCATCTCACAAAAATATTTGAATCTACGGGTAGTAAGCTTATTAATGGTGGTTTGGACACTTTAGAGACGGTTGGTAAAAAAACCTTAGAAGTATTACAAGAAGGTGATCCTGGATTACGAAAAAAAAGAGCTCTATTTTCACAAAAAGGTGAAAAAATTAATTTATCTCAAGTATGTATATGTAATTCTCAATGTTATTTTCAAATTAATTTTATTCAAATTTTTAAATTCAAGATTTTACAAGAAGCAAAAGAAAAAGCTGAAGTTGAATTAAATCATAACAATCAAGAAAGTGAAATACAAAAAGGATACGCCTATATGTTTGATCATTTTCAAGGTAATGCTTATGAATGAAACTATCGATAACTTAAGTTACTTATTAAAAAAATCAAGAAGATTTATCTAAGTATTCTATTGAATTTTACTAATTTATTTTAAATTTTTTTATTGACAGTTAGAATTTTTCTTATTATATTTTTTTTTATATTAACCTTGATGATTGAAGTGTATCTTATTTCTTTTTGCTCTCCTCCATACATTAACTCATACCTTTATATATATTTATGTACATATTAATATATAATTACTTATTACCTTATAATTATTTCAAAACTTATAATTGATATATGAGCTACTTTTATTACATAATATATTTTTAACTAACTTAGACATTAACATCCATTTTAGGGGTAATTCATCTAGAAAGCCTTGAATTAATATCAAAACAGAGTCAAATGAAATTACAAACTGTTTTATTAACTTATTCCGGTACTAAGTTATCAGAATTACAGGATGAAATTGAACATGTAAAAAATAAATGTTGTGTTGACTATGATGAAGATGAAAAGTTAATGAATAGTGACGAATTTATAAAAGCTTTAAATAATTATGTAAAAATGTTTGGATTTGATTTAAAAATCAATAAAATTCTTAAAGTTAGTATTTGATATTAAAATTTTCAATTTATTATTCTATGGATTTTATATCTTATAATAGATAAGTGATGAAATAGAAAAAAAAACAAACAATAAAAATAATTTAGTTGACAATGCATATGATAATGCAATTTCTGGATTAGCTGAGTTAACTGCTGCAGCTATTGAAATATTTTATAAAATAGGAGAAATGTTAATGATAGACACTCAAAAAATTGAAGTAACTAAAAAAATAGAAACTGTAATATGGTAAGTATAAGTGTAACAAATAGATGTAAATGCGATTAAAAAAAAACATTAAATAATTTACAGTTTATATGAAGCAATTTGTTGCCGAATACGCTCAATTGCTAATAACTATGCTTGTTTGCTATCAAAAATAGATGACGCTGACATTTCAAGTCAAATTAGTGACATTTATCTAGAAGTAATCAATTTAAATCCATTAATTATTGTATACATAATATATTTATAAATCTGTTTTTCTGTTTTCAGTCATCTAATAGTAGTTCTTACATTCAAGATGCTCTACAGTTGTTAATTCCCATTTTACAGTTATTGGTCATTTGAGTTTTATTATTAAGTATGCATTTATTGTCAAATATGTATTTTTATTCATATTTTTAAACATTATAATTAATAGCTATTTGATATTTATTTTTATTATGGTTACCATTTTATGTTACTCATAAAAATGTTTATACTAGAAATTTTAATTAACAAAAAAATTAATTATTGTTGCATATGAAAGTTCTGTTATAAGTACCTATTACCATAATCCTTAATGAATGAACCATTTTATCAGTTCTGGATATATATTTAAGAGACCATAGTGCAAACTATATTTAGGACCCTAAAAAAATTTTGATTACTTTATTCGCAATTAATTTTAATTTTTTTTTTTTTTTAAATAATATGTCAAACTTATGTTAAACATACTAAGTGATGTACACTGTTCAGTAAGTATGGAAACGGGTCAATTGTTATAAACAATGAGAACAATAGAAATTTGTTTTCTCCTTACTTATAAAACACCTATATGTAAAAAATATATATATTATAGTAGAATAAATGTAACTAATTTTCTTTTATAAGAAAAATTAAATCAAAAGATAGTTTATACAAAATTTTTCAGATACACAAAAAATGTGTTGGCCACCAGTGCAATGCAATCATAGTAATTTAGTCACTTATTATTAATAAATAAAATATTTTTTAAAATACATTTGTTATTATAACAGTAATAAAGTTTTTTCAATTTTATATTAATCAGCAAATGTCCATCCAATTTGTTTTACTACAAATTCTATTTAACCTTAGTTTTAACTTATAAATCTAAAATTGCATATGAGAGCTAATATTGTATTGACTAACGTGATTTCATATAATTTATAATGAAATGGAGAAATATAAGAAATAATATAATGTAGAGTTAAAACCGGTATATTATAAGTAAATGTTTTGATTCATTGTATATCATATACTAATAATCTTAATTAAACCAAAAGAACTTGTTTAAAAAAAAACTAATGATATAGTTCAGCCTTGATTCAAAAGTATGATTTCTTATTAAATATCATAAAAATGTTTCATTTAAGTATTAAGTAATTTATTTCAATTAAGAGTCAAGGAATTTATTTGTTCTCTGTGGATAGGTGATCAGAATAATTCCACGGCCACTCTGCCATTTATAAGAGGCGACTAATGAGATTGTGTCAGGTCAACAGCCGATTTAAAATTTTGTCAAAAAGTATCAGGAGACCTGAACAAAACTTAGGTGGATTGTCCCATCTTGGATGTATGTGGGGATTAAGACAAGAAAAAAGAAGAAGTGATGGAATTTATTTGAAATCGAACAAAATTTCTGAATTATTTAGTTAATTATGAAAGGAAGTTAAAAGAAAACAATTGTGCAGAAATTAAAAATAATTGTTTTATTCCAAGTCATAATAATCTACCATTTTGATAGAAATTCTGAAAAATAATTTTGCATAAAATATTCAAGAGCATATAAAAAAAACTATTGGTTTATTCAATATATAATAAGATATAAGTCATCAGTTAAAATCAAGAAATCAATAATAAAAATATATTTACTTATTTTGTATTGGCTGACCCCAAAAAGTTGGGATTAAGGCGAGAAAAAAGAAGATACTTATTTTGAATATTTGACACCTCTTAAGAAATGTTTTCATCAAAGTTTTATAAGACTATTTTTTATGTCTTTTATCATAGAAATTTCGACTAAAAGCTTTATAATACATGAATAATCATATAATTATTTATAATTAAATTCCAACTATTTGGGGTTAGTTCTAACTCACAATTTTTCTACACCTTCTGTCAACCTGATTATAGCTGAGAGAACTATAAATTAATGTAGATAGTACTGAGCATGGCGTTTTTATTTTCTTTTATTACTCAGCATAAGTCCCGTTATGATGTAATTAGTATAATTAAGAATGAAAACAAGTTATCTTTTATAGCATAGTTTAATAATTTGTAAGTTTATAAAACAATAAAAAATTTGTTTTATTCAATAAATTTTAATGAAATCAATCAGTACATTTTAAATACGATAAGGCTTTTATTTCAATCATTACTTAAGATTTTAGGAAATGCTTTATTTCGAAATTATCTGAACAATTACTTTAAATTAAAAAAATTTATTTAAAACATTTGATATACCTATTACTTATAACGGATAATCAGAGAATATAATCTCATAACCAAAGTAGTTTTTGCTGATAAAATTTAAGTATCGGAGATTGTAAGAAAAAATGTTTGTAATTTATTTCAAAGTTTTTCTAATTTAACCCCAGATAATAAAAAGACATACTATAAACCTTAGAAAAAACGCTAGGCTTCATAATTTATAGCATAGACTCTGCACAACATAATTAAAGTAACTATTATTTTAAGAAAATAGAAGTTGATGTTGAATGAATCACTGATATTATAAATGGTAATATATTGTTATACAGTGATTCTGAATACCACATTAAATACTATAGTTTTTAATTAAAGATAAAAAAAAAGTAAGTAAAAAAAAAACTAATTATATAAAATAATAATTTGAAATAAGATATTAAAGCTAGTTCAATATTGTAGTATTATCATAGTGATTGATTTACCATTGACCACTAAATTTCTCTAAATTAATAAGTTTTAAAATTTATTTTTATTTATTAGTTTTTGTTTACTCAAAAATCAGAAAATAAATACTACTTAAGTAAAAATAAATCTTTATTTAAACGCTAATATCTCTACTGTCAAATTATAAAATATCTTTTTTTGTTTTTATTTTAATTTCCTTTATTCTTTTTTTTAATGTATTTTTTACCTAAATTCATTTAATGTTTATTAATATTTCTTTTTAATCACCACAATAACTCATAATTTTAATAATGCTTATATTCAAAGATATCCATTGATAATAATTATCTAAATTATCCATTAAATATTTAAAGTCTTCAAGTTTTCCATTTTCCTGTAAAATAATTGAAAAATATTTATTTACATATATTTGAGTAATTGGTTACTTTAAGAAGAAATATAATTAATTTCTTTAAATAATTATTCAAGAAATTAATGATTTTAATATTGTGTATATGAAAAAAATTATTTTAGAGTAACTAAAATTAATTAAGTATTTCATAACATGCTATTTAATTATAAAAAAATTAGCGAATGATTTTATTTAAATAAAAAAGTAATTTTTGGAGAACTAGGCCCCTCTAGTTGAACTTCCGTTTATATTTACAATTATTGTTATCCATTTTATTTTTATCTAATATTAGTTATTTGTTAAAATTATACTAATACACGATACTAATCTATTGATATTTTTATGAAAACCATTGTCAATTTATATAAAAATATTTGAGGAAATTTATGTTTAAAAAAATGTGTTAATAAGCAAAAAATGTGAAAATATTCAAAATAAGAATTTACATTAAAATTATACAATCTTGAAATAAATTTTGTTCAAACTCAATTTCTTGTACAACTAGCAAAAAAAGCATAAAAATGCATTAAATTCATAATCTTACTAATAATTAATATTGACACTTTATTAAAAAAATTAAAAACAAAAACCAACCTTAATTTTGGAAAATATAAATACATATAAAATGTATAAAGAAGTATATAAATAAACCAAAAAAATATACCTGGCATATTTTTTAACTTTTTTGGAAATGTGTTCGTTTAAAATATTGCCAAAGTAAAAAAAAAGTACTTTTAAGTGAAACAGAATGAATAGAAATTAAAAATTCAATACTAGCCTATAAGGTAATTTTAATTTAATTTTCACATAAGATAATATTTTAGCTTTTTACATGTTATGTAAAAAGCTCCTAACACAAGAGAAATTTCAATAATTAATTTAATGGCATATTTTCTTTTAAAAATTACCTGACGCACATCATATATAAAAATAGAAACAAATGCTATTTTAAGCAAAAGATGAGAACTAAAATTTGATTTCAATAATACTTTTAAAATATTATAGCTATTATTATGATTGTCTTAATATCATCATATACTTGTTTACTAATACATTTTCACAAGACACTAAATTTAATTTCTTAGTACTCATAGAGTAAAATTCTGGAATACTAAAAAAATATCAAAATAATTTATTAAATATAGTGCATAGTAAAAAAATAAATTGTCACAAGATATAAAAATGTAACACCAAACTTCACCAAACACCACAACACTGATATGACACACGAATCAATACTTCTGAGTCGGCACAAGCACTGGTATTGTAAATTTAATTTATATTGATATTTTGATTTTAATAAAAATACACTTATTATTTAATTTAAGGTATATGTATTATTAAATAGTTGAAAGTACTATAACATACAAAATTAATTTCACAAAATAATTTAATGTAGCAGAACCACAATTTAAAACTTGATTTTTAACTTTTTCAATAAAACAAATTAGTACCACTTTAAAAGAATTCTATTTATAATTTATTCACTGCATTAAATACTATTTAAAAGCAAATAAATAATTTTTTTATAGAACTTTGTAAATACATCATTACCACTAATTATAAATAATTAAAACTACAATATTTTTCACATTATGATCATAAAAATGTTTACTGTTTTGCCACTTTATTACACATAAATAAAACTTACAATATCGATATTATGAACTAAAAATTTTATCACTATTAAAAACTATAAAATAAATACTAATGCACTTTACACAATTTTTTAAATTCTGTAATTTTGTGTGAACTTAAAAAACTGAATAAAAAAAAAAAAAAACTTAAGCACATTGTAAAAATTATGAATTTACACATTACAAAATCACCTAATATAATTATTTATTCAAACTATGTTTTTTTTTAAACATAAACATACTGTTATTAATCATATTAGTGACAAATTAAAAATTAACTTTTTAGTAAATGTCATTAAATTGTCATTTATCAACTAACCCTAATCTACCAAATTTATTTATAATTTGCAATTTCTATTTTAAATATTTCCAATATTTCTTTTTCTCTAAATTAGTTAAAAATTAAGAAACACCTCCACTCACTACTACAATAACTAAATGGTCATCTTTTAATGTTTCATTACTTAAATTCTTAGCATTTTGCTTTAGTAAATTTGCTGAATACTCACAGGGTGGAAAAGCATATAACACACCAGTTGGTTCTGGTTCTTTACCTACTAATGATATTACACCTGCTGCCTCTTTTTGCTTTAAATATGAAACTAAATTACGTAATGGCCTTATTTGTACTAAAGCATCATCATTTGCAATTGAATTAGTAGAACATGGCATTGCTAAAAATATTGCATGCATATCTGCAGTCATTATACGTTTAGAGACATCTTCTAGTTTTGGTTCATCTAATCGTAATCGTTGTGTTATGCGTAATGTAGATTTACCTTCTTCATCTTTCATCATTGATTCTATAACACTTGAATCACCAGAAGTTAAATGACATTTGGCAGGAAATTGTGAACTTTTTAAAACTAGACTACCCTGCCAAATATCAGTACATTTACGAGCTAAATCATTTAAAGTTCTAACAGAATTCAAAGGGCCTGATGATTGTACAATACCTTCTTCAGAATCTACATCACTGTCAATGGATTGATGAAGAGGAGATCTTTCTGGTGATCGAGGAGAACCAATATCAGAAACAGAATGTTTGAATGAACGACCATTATCATAACTACCAAAATCTCTACTTTCATCACCATATTCAGAACGACCCTTACGGTAACTTCTTGAACTGTAGGAAGAATATTCACCATCTGGCCATCCATATGAATAATCATCACGCCTAGATAACTCTCTTAGATCTCCAGCTGATGCAGCAACATCATCATGAGAAGACTTTGATTTTGATGAGTAAGTTAATGTTGGACTACCACAAACTCCTCCATCCGCAAAATCAGTCCTTAATTTGTGTTCAGGTCCTCCCAATGCTACCCCTCTCATTTCTTTTACTGCAGCTGTTGCAGCATCAATACTTTCAAATTGAATATAAGCACATGTGTCACCTTTAACATACTCAATTTTTTTAATAACACCAAATCTATCAAATTCTCTTTCTAATTGAGCTAATGATGTCCAAGGACCCAAGCCACCAACCCATATTCTTTGAGTAGGAGTAGATTTACCGTAACCTATTTTACATTGGAATTTTCCTAAGTATTGACCAGATAATTCAACTTTAGCTCTGTGAGCCATATCTAAATTTTGATATCTGACAAATGCATATGCATTCCCAGTCCCAGGTAATGGTCTTTTAACATCAATATCTTCAACAACACCATATCTACCAAAAATTCGGCGAAGTTCTTCATCAGAAATTGATATTTCTAGATTTCCAGCGAATAAAGTACGTGTTGCCAGTGGATCATCTTCAGGAGGAATGTGATGTAAATAATTGGGAAATTTGTCTTTTTTATCATGCATCAAATGAGGGTGAGGATGAGGTCTAAATGGAGGCAAAAAATGTCTAGGTGGCCCATATAATGGATGCATAGGCCCTAAATGAGGATGTAGTGGTGCCACATGATGTAATAAAGGTCCTCTTGGAATCATCAAATCATGAGGATGCAATGGTGGTAGACCTATTTCTCTGAAATCTCTTGGAGGTAACATTGGAGGAAGTGAACCATAAGGCAATCTTTCATAAAATCTATCAGCTGGATGAGGTCTATGAAGCTCTGCAGGAATGGGAGACCTATGATAATATCGATCATAATCTGGTGAATAGCTTCGAGAACGAGAACGTCTAGATGTTCTAGATTCATAATGATCTCTAGAGCTACGACTTTCATAAACAGGAGTAACAACAGCAATTTTTTCAAACAAACTTATTCTAGGCTTACTATGCTTAGCATCTTTAGCATCTTCTGAACTTCTAAAACAAACATAAGCCACTCTTTCTTCTAACTCATGAGATATTCTCACAGAAAATTCTCCAAATTTTCTATATTCTCTATATAAAGTTTCCTTGACTTGTTCATCATTAGCTTTAGGATGTAAAGCACTAACACAAAGAACTTTGTAAGTAGGATGAGATCTATCTAAATCTCTAGAACGACCAAACTCATCTCTTTCTGAATATCTAGATGGTCGAGGACTAGGTGGAGATCTGGCTCTACGACGTATACGTTCAGGAGATCCCCTTTCATCAGAACTTCCATCATAGCGGTTAATACTTCCATGTCGTTTTTTACGAGATATAGGCGGCGAGTCACGACCATAGCTTCTACGTTTCATATTTTCAATCTTCACAGTGATTTTTTTAGATTTAAATTCTTTAGGCAATCCAATCATTCACACTACTGGTCATTAATATCATAGAAATACCTAAAAATAGATAGTATTGTATAAAATTAAATCACAAAGACCATATACATAATTTGTACATTAACGCGTACTGAATTGTGTAAAAAAAATCACACTAAACTTACTTGCAGTAAGTTTTATAATATTTAACTAACCAAATCGCGTAATTATTGGTGTTAGGCGATTCTAAATATTAAGTTATACAAAAATTTTGGAAAGTGCCAAAAAAAATTCACTGAATAAACTGAAGCTCTTAAAAAATGTCACTCGATTAAAATATAGTTGATATAGGAAATATTTACTAAAATAAAACGTTATGTTGATTACCAGAACACTGAAACGATGTTGTGGCATTCCAAACACGATAGTTTTGTTGAATGCCACACTTACAAAGGTAACGCGGGCGGAGGAGAGAGAAATAATTCAAAACAAAATGGCTCTCAACATTACAGTTTACTTAGTTCTATATAGGCGATGAATTCGCTGTTGGGGCAACTCACCCTATGAGCCGCTTGCAGTGATAGAATTTACAAAGTTTTCAGTCATAAGTTCCCATGGTCATTGGTTCCCATCGCTGTGTTACCAAAGAGGTTGATGATAAGCCAGTTTTACCAACATAAAAAATTGTATTTAATTGTTGGAATAAAAATAATTTAATACTATTGTCATTTTAAATAATACTTAAGGTTAAAAATAAAGTAACTTTTTAGCTTCGATGCGAAGCAGAGAAAGTATTAATTTTATCATAATAATTTTATTTTTTATATCTGTCACTACTTTCCTCAGTTCTCACAGGACCGATTTTTCTATTTCTTATTTTTTATTAAAACTCCTATAACTTTTATAAAAATAAACATACCGAAATAATTTTAGCTTCGATGCGAAGCGTAGAAGGTATTAATTTTACTATGATGTGATTTTTATTTTAGCTTCGATGCGAAGCTGAGAAGGTATTAATTTTACCATGATGTGTTTATTTTTTTATTTTTTTTTTTATTTTTTTTTTTTTTTTGTGTCTGTCNTCTCACTGGACCGATTTCTTTCAAAAATACGTCAAAAGATCACAAATCGTATCTAGTTGGAGACATTACCTTTAAAAATTGAAAAAAATTACCTCGTTCCCCGCAAATGGGGGAAATATGCAAAAAAATTTAAATTTAAAAATTGCTAATTTTCGAAATTTTTTCAATTTTTTTACTAAAAACTGCCGTAACTTTTCAAAAATCAACAAATCAACATAATTTTTTTTTATACTAAAACCTTAAATATCTACCTTTCATTTGATATCATTTTTTTGAAAATCTAACACTTAACCTGCTCATTGAGGGAGATTTAAAATAGCAACTTTTTTACAAAAACTAACTTTTTCAACTTAATTTTTGAAAATGTTCCGGAAATACTGCGTCCTTTAAACATATATCAAATTAAAGCTTAATTTATGTACTATAAAATGGAAAAAAAAATTGGTCTCGACACTTTATCTTCTGCATGTAAACGGCTGCCGTAGTTAAAAAAACGCTATTTTTGTGTTAAAATTTTCGATTTTAAATTTTCAACTTAAAAATGCTATAACTTTTCGAAAAATGTATGTATCAGCACAATTCTTTTTTCTAAATGTATTATAAGTATATCTTTCATTTGACATACTTTTTATTAAAATTGGTCAAATTCCCCTTATATAGGGGGCGTTCAAAACTTGAAATATTGTAAAAAACATAAATTTTTTTCAACTGAACTTTTGAAAATGTTCCGGAAATACTGCGTCCTTTAAACATATATCAAATTAAAGCTTATTTTATGTACTATAAAATAAAAAAAAAAAAATTGACCCGACGACCTATCTTCTATGCGCAAATGGCTACCGTATTCAAAAATATGCTATTTTAACAAACTTTTTTTTTTTTAATTAAACACTATATACAGAATTGCATCGAAGCGTTTTTTATGATAGTGATTTTAATCACTGTCAGATATCATCTATACTGGACCCAACTATGCCACGACCCCACTGTGCTGGGTTTTTTTATTTGTAAATGCTTGTTTCTAATTAGTAATAATCTCAAAAAAAAAAAAAAAGGTGTTAAAAAAAACTTATTGAAGATTTGAAATCGACGCAAAAATTGAATGAGAAAAGTTTATTTTGGTCTTTGATTAAAATTCCTTGTAGACCGGCAAAAGTATTCATAAATAATAATTTTTTTTTTTAATTTAAAGTATTGCATTAAGCTATTCAATATCTATGCACATTTACCATAATAATAACAATTACTTTATAATTTCTCCATTAAAATTACAATACTAAATTATTAAATATCAATTTTATACTATATTAAATTGATATAATAAATATTTATTCATCTATTACACTTATAATTCATAAGACTTGTAATCAAGATATAAATATATATAAGAGTTCATTTTGCTTTTGGAATAATCCACCAAATTCTTAAATTAAACACTACAGATTTTTGTTCGAAGCCGTTCTTATAATAATGATTTTAATCACTGTCATATATCGTCTATAGTAGTCCCAACTATGCTACGTCCACACTGTGCTGCCGTTTTTAGCTTCGATGCGAAGCTGAGAAGATATTGGTTTTACTTTGATGTGTTTTAGCTTCGATGCGAAGCTGAGAAGGTATTAATTTTACTATGATGTGTTTTTTTATTTTT